AGCCATGCTCTGTATTTTTGGAATATAAAAATAAGGAAATGTGGTATGATTGCCAGTAAGGCAACTATCCACAGGAGTTCAAATGAAATGAATGTAAGCAATTATAGCCAACCGTACAACCTTCAACAGCGAGTAAAATACATAACGTATAGTCGGCTATACAAGGCTCGGATGAAAAATAATGACACAATTCAAACGAGAAAATTAACGGCCTAATTTATAATAAAACAGCTTACGAACAAAAAATTCTACGCACATGAACCAACGACAACCACTAAACTACAGACTCCTGACTTTGGACATCATCAAAACAAACTGTAAAAATCAGTAACAATTGGATTAATCCAAAGCAACGGTACGAGGCACAAACACAACTAGAATTGCCATTGCAAGCAATAGCGGATGTCACCCTGGCCCTATAATTGCCACTAAACAGCAGCAATTTCGAAGTTTTCAAACAATAAATGAAGATAAATGCATGGCAACAGATCATTCTGTTAATTTTCAGAACATTTAGAGTGTTTTTTTCAATTTTTCACAATAGTGCTGTTTCCATGACATCGGCGGCCATTTTGGAAATTCAGAAGTCAAATACCACATTAACATATGCCAGTTAATATTTTTGTAAAGTTTCATAAAGTTTGGAACATTTTTATTATTTTTTTGCATTGTTTCCATAGTAACGGCAGCCATTTTCGAAATTCAAATACCATATCCACCTATGACAGTTAACATTTCTGTAAAGTTTCATAAAGTTTAGAGAATTTTGAAATTTTTGAAATATTTGATTAGCTTCCATGGCAACATCGTAGTTCCAATGAAACTCAAAATCATCAGAACATGTGAACAGAGGCCAACTACATTGTATAAAATATAGATGATTTTATGTTCAGGCATACTCAAATTATTCAATAAAAAGATTTTTTTATTTTTTTTACACTATTGCAGTTTCCATGGTAATAGCGGCCATTTTGGAAATGCCAACCCCGATGGACATCTGCACATGGTGGTTAACATTTTCATAAGTTCCAGTATAATTGGTCCATACAAATGCGCAATTCCGAGAAATAGTCCGGACAAAAAGTGTGGAATAATAAAAAAAAAAGAAAAAAGAATCGTACAATAACAATATGTCACCCGCACTCCGTTCAGGGTGACATAATAGTAATAATAAGAAACGGGACAAAAACATAAAGTCCACCAAAACTCCGTTTTAGCGACTTAATAATGTATATATTTACATATCAAATGGTGCAATGCCCTCTGGATTTATGCAACGGACGTTATATAGTGATTTTTAGTCAGTCTGTTCGTCCTTCTGATCGTTTATTTTTTGTTTGTGCGTCCGTCTGTCCAACTTATCTGCAACTGCTCTTGAATCACGTGACAAAATTTTCTGAAATCACGGAATCTTAATCACATGACTTAATTTTGCAATTCCAATTTCCAATTCCAGGATCTATTGTAACAATACCAACAAAGGGTTTATTTGGCATCGCATGGACTTTGTCCTAACCGCAGTCTTTGTAACCATTTCCTCTATTTAACCCCTATTCAAAATTAAGGTGAAACTTTCCGACAATTTTTACACGAAAATTCCATTGTGGAACTCATATTTTTCTTTTGATCGAAGTAATTTTGGGGGTTTCCTATCCACACGCTACAATTCAGACTTTTATTCTTTTCCTCTTCTCAATCTTATTCAGAATTAAGTGACACTTTCCGAGAATTTTAAAACGATAATGCCATTTTGCAACTCTTAATATTTTTTATCTATTAAGTGATTTTTGGAGTTTCCCTTGGCATCATGGACTTTCCAATAGCTTTATTTTATGGCACCCTTTGTTTCCGAAAATCCTCCTAAACCCCTTATTAGAATTTCTTGAAACTAATATATACATTCTCGTAATCTTACCCATATTATGCGATTGCGCACTTTTTTAATTGTTTTTTTTTTTAATCTGAATTATTTTGGGGTTTTTCCTTAGCACATCATTTTATTGTTTGCAAATCCTCCTAAACCCTTATCATAAGTTAACGAAACTGTTTTTTTTTTTATAATCTTCACTATATAATGCTATTGTGCACCCCTATTCAGTTTTCGATTTTAATTATTTTGGGGATCTTCCTGAGCATATCATGGATTTGCCATTGCTCTATCGGGGGATGGGGTCCCAGTTTTGTATCCTCAACTATTTCAAAACGCCTTATTCATGTTATTATAATTTATAAAAACGCTGTCAGAATCTGAACCACATATAATCCCATTATGTAACTCCTATCTTGTGTTCCTGTTTAAATTTGTTTAAGGGGTTCCCTTTCAAAATCATGAACTTTACCATTCTTTTATGTTTTGGCGGATGTGTCAGTTTGTAAGCTTTGCTTGCAGTACATTTACTACCTCTAGATTCTATTAATTTTCTTGTCATTTTTTATTTCTTTTAATTTCTTTTGCGTTCCCTAAAATCAGTAAAATCTTATGTTAATCACTTGCAGAGGAATGATTTAAAACTGGTATTCAATTTGTCTCACAAGGGTGACACTAAGTCCTGTTGGTGATTAAATTAATAAGAAGATGCGGTATAATTGTTAATGACAATACACTCCGCTATAGACCAAATGACACAAAACTAAATAGCTTAATGAGACATCCATTTTCGCTGAACTAGTGTACTTTATTGTTAAGGGGCCAACTGAAGACCGACTCCGGGTGCGGGATTTTCTCGCTGCGTTGAAGACCCATTGGTGGCCTTGGGCTGTTTTCTGCTCTTTGGTCGGGTTGTTGTCTCTATGACGCATTCCCCGTTTCGAATCTCAATTTTGTTATGTATATATCTATAATACTAATATAACGAGGTCCAATTTGTTAGCCGGCATGCAGTAAAAACGACGAATCAAAGAATTCAACTTTATATATGACTAATACAGGACAATGGTGCTGATTAAAAATTACACCATTTCATGCCCTTTTGTTTTCCACATAATTAATAATACCAATAATTAACTAGTTCCGGGTCGAATCCGATACCGATACCAATAGTATATGTCACATGTAGTTTCCGGTTGTATGTATGTTCTGTATCTTCCTCTTTAAATAGGAACATCACCAAGGGTATGGTGTACAGAGGGAAATTTAACACAGTACAGATTTAATGTGAGCATTTGCCTAAACCAGTTTCCCAGCCTGGCCGTGACGGGTCTTACCACCAGAAAGTTAACCTTCCCCAAAAACAATAAGTACAATGCAATAAAACGGGTAAAAAAAGAAAGATTTTTGAAAGCAGAGAAAACTGTGCACCTTATAATCAGCATGACTTTATCAGATGACAAAACCAATACTAAAAATCCAAGCTAAAAAAAAGGCGAAGGTACTTGAATTTAGTCAGGGACCCGCGATGGCTACAAAACACTAGTAAACCCATTTCATTCTTAAACCGCCATTTTGATCTGAGCAGCTCTTAAAAGACTGAACAATGAATTATTAAGTCTTCTCCATTCTTTCAATGAATTTTCAGACTTATCCACTGCGAAAAATTTAGTACGGCTCAGACAATGCACTTGCAGTCGAATAAAATCTGTCCAGTATTTTTTTCAAACTGCTCAGTAGTTTCTACATATACATATATTTACATATACACATCATCAACATACTGAATTGTCAAAAACGCTTCTGAACACTTCTAACTTGAATGCAAGCGAATGGTTTGAAAAGTACTGAACCCGCAGTTGATAAGTCTGAAAATTGACTGAAAGTCTGGACATTACAATGATTAATTGTTTAGACTTTTCAAATGATGTTAAGATCATAATGACCGTTTTAGACTAAAAGTCATTTCCTATTGGAATAACCGTTACAGAAAGAGGTGAAATTTCCGGTGTTCTAAACTCTGTCAACTTTTGTAATATGAGTATTTTGATATCATGAAAAAGCCAGCTAAATTAATTTCTCCAATTCTTAGTCGATTTATACTTTTCCTGACCTGTTGATTATTTTTATTTAATCAACGTGTGGTTCGTTTGATCTCAATTCTTCATTGGTCATAATTCGATTATGATGTCAAATGTTCTTGCTATCCTCTGAATTTCCTATTGTGACGTCATGACAAAAGGCGACTATGCCTGATGACTTCACATTGAAAGAACACATCTTTTTGCAGATCATTTCGAAAAGAAGGATAAAGATTGTCTGCATATCGTCAAAAAATCATTAGAGAAACAGATTATACCACCACATCTCGTTCAAAACGATATTTATCATATCTCGACAGTTAAATTTTGAATATTTAATACGCTCGAAAAGCCTCGCGTTTTAAATTTGAAAATTTAACTGTCTCGAGTAGATAATATCGTATCACACTCGATGCAGTGGTAGAATCTACATATATATCCCATTCCTTTTCTCCACATTTACCCTTTACTTGATTGGTTACGTCTTCAGTTGGATTATTTTCTTTAAGTATTGCTTATACAAATGGTAATAATTCTTCTGATAAACTATTTTGAAATGAATAGAGAAATAATCCGAGTTTAGAACTCAGTGTTTAGTACCTCCCTTTTTCAGTAGTATTATGTACTGGTAACGTTCTACATACAGTTCAAACTTCTTACCTACCTAAACCTTTTAAAAGATAACTGTAGTTTACCCAATGTCAACACGGTATAATTTTGAATTCAACAAAGGAAAATCTTGACGTCGTACGTCCTAGATAGTTTCAATATTGTACGGATGATGTACACAAAACTTTGAGTCAGACGTGAATCAGATCTAAATAACTACACCGCGTTTGAAGATTCCATTGCACATTCATTATATGATATTGGATCAGCATTTGGTTTCAGTGTTCTTAAATTATTTCCAGAATGTATTTGCACTAGTTTCTAAACTCTTCGAATTGTTTGACAGATGTTCAGATGTGCTCTATGTAACATTGGTATATTAACATTAAGCCACTAAATATGTTCATCTTCAACCAGATAATAAAACTTAAAAACCGTGTTTAAAAAAATGTAATGATTTATAATTTCTTATATTTGCATATGTATACAAGTATATTTCAAATAATATATGGCTGAAACTGGCTATTCAATTAAAAGAAACTGATAATCGGGGTCATTAGCTCATGTCGAGTTAAGGCTGTTTTACGCCATGAGTGTAACAACTCAAAAATTACCTTTTATTGAATTGAACATACCTTAATCATATAGCATTTTAAATGTTTAACAACGATGATGTTATATTAATAAGATATACTTATAAGTTGTAATTTATACGTTCGTGGTTCGTAGTGTTATTTCAAGGTTATCCAGCAATTTGTTGTCGAAATTACAAAAGTCGAAGGTATGTCCAAGTCTTAAAAAGGCTTTTAATCTCCTATCTTTGATATGACTACTATCCAAAATATCATAATTAACTACAGCAATTCGTCGACACTTGTTTGACTTGTAATGAGCCCAAATTTGATTCCATTCAGTCTTTTGAAATTGTGATTTCAAGTAGTCGATGCTTAAGATGACTAAATACGAATTTGAGTTTGCAATTTCAGTCAAAATCTGTTGGACTTGCACACCCTGGGGTAAAATCTCTAGGAGGCAGACAAACTTTTAATCCATTTTTGCTAGATTGTAAACTACAACTGTATTTACCCATTTCATTATATTGTAATTTTCTGTATTGAATGACAAGTACACGTCAAATCTGGTCGGTTGCGGACTGACGTAATTATTGAAACTGCTAATGCACTGAATTTTGAAAATCCTTAAAAGTAAATATATTTCGTACTTCATTGTCAAGTAAAGAACAAGTGATATAAATACGATTAACAAAAAAATGAGCAATGCATATTGCACAGTTGACCCCGGTTTTTCCACGGTACAAAATTGAGAGATAGAAATCGCCTCAATATCTTTATTGGGAAAACGACATGTAATAAAGTTATTACCTCTACGTCTTCTGTTCTGATTTTCCAGCCAAACTTGAATCCACTTCATCTCACAGGAATACGTGATCGTTATATTTCCGAACAGAACCGTTCGTTCATTTTTAAATAGCTGTACATTTTTATGAATATGCGATATAGTATTGTGCTTGAGATTGATATTGTTAATTTTCGGGATTCCATAAATGAACGGGTCTACTCTTTGTATTCGGTTATACGACAAATCTATTGAAGACGTTCTATCTAAATAAGTACGGTATACGAAAACTGTTATCAAATTATGGCTTAAATCAATATATAAGCCATTTTGTTGCGGAAATTCACTCGGCAATCGATATTTTACCCTCATTGTACAATTAACCACAACTCTAGACCTCGATGGCTGTTCGAAACAACTGCAGTTAAAAGGGCATTTGTCTTTCATTGAGATATTACATATGAAAAGGTCTGCACTAATATTAAAAATCCGTCTACCACGAAGAAACGGTGGATGTCCGCAAGTATGGTTCTGCATTTCAACAAAGTTTTTGCTAGCCAATTTAAACTGTTCTAAGAAAGGTTCTACCTTGCAATTACAATTTATAGGATTGTCAATGATATTTACAGGATATCTGAAGGCAATACTAAATAAAGTTGGAAGGGTAAGGCCTAATTTTGAAAACTTTGGAGATTCAGAAATTTGGTTAGAGACTAAATATATATTTCCCCCACTTTTTGAAAGATTGAATTTAAAATATAATTCATTTGTAAACTCCGAAATGTGATTGCTGCTCAATTGTATAAAATCAAACGAATAATCGAGAATTAAGTTTGTAAAATCAATGCTTTTCAGAAAATTTCGACATAAAGAAATCTTCATAAGAGAACCTGGACGGTAGTTAAACGTATTTGGCTCTATATATTGTATCTTATTGTCAGATAAATCCAAAACTCTCAAATATTTTAACACTCTGAACGTTGTATTATTCAATCTTTCAATTCTATTAAAAGACAGGTTTAATGTGTCTAGAATGTGCAAACATTCGATGTCAGGGATATTTTCAACCTGGTTTTGAGAAAAATTTATATCCACTATTTTTCTAAATTCACAAAGACTGCTTGGAATAACTTCTAAATTGCCCTGCTGGTAGAAAATCTTATAGAACAATGTGTCAGTAGCGCCACCAGGAACTATAACAAAACCGTCTTCTCCTGTTGGTTCCAAACGTAAAAACCCGATTAAATTCTCAGATTTAGAAATTATCCAGTACGGCCGTGAATATTCCACGCAGCAAGTGGTAACACTGTTCCCTGCAAAAGTACGCCCTTTTGTGATTTGTTGTTGACATGAGTTCGGACACATTAGGTATTCACTAGCAACTGTATCTTAATGCCAGTGAAAATATCCAGGGAATGGCTGTCTAGCAGTATCACTAGAGTGTGCTGCTAAAAACATGTGAACACCAAAATTAATGAAGAACAGTTTGATCTGAAATAGAAAATAGGTGTTATTAAAAAGCAAGATAGTATGCATTATTTTCAAATTTGACGGACACTTGTCAAAACTATTCAAATTAAACAACCGCTTTAAAAATAAGATACACAGTGGACAACATTAACTATAAGTCGAGGAGAAAGCAAATACAACATTTGGTAAAAGACACAAAAAGACGAAAATACTAAAAACAGTCCATAATATACCACATAGGAACTACTAAAGAATGTGCAACATGACCCTCACGAAAACCGGATATTAACTCATCTGTGTTTTTTTGACTCAAGATATGCCACATGTCGTCTTATTATGACAGCGTTTCTTGTGATATAAATGACACATTAAACTTAAACTTTTTTGATTTATAAACTTTGCTTATCTATGTAATGATAATCCATTGAAAATTAAGGTATATTAGTTTTATTTATGGAAAAACAAAACAATAATATGTTAAACTCGATTGTTCTATATTTATGTATCAGAAAATGAAGGAATAAACTGTGTTTAAAAGCCGTCAACATAATTTCAAGTAAATATTCGAGGTTCCTGATATATTTGCTTCACTTTATATTGGATATATTTAATGCCATAAACATATTGTGTGCTTATTTGTATTATTTGGCTCAATCGTCTTTATTTTCCAAACAGTTGAATTTGCTGGTATAAATCAATTTAAATCGTCCGCTCTCACTAGAAACGCTACGAATAAGTTTTAAAAGAGTAAAATATATTTGCAATCAATGCAAAGTCCCAAAAGGTCAAATCAAAATATTCAGATATAAACATAATCAACCTAGGAAGGAATGGCACATGAACTTGTGACGCCTTTACAATTTCCATTTTGATATCTGAACCCCCCTTTTTTTTAACAGTAAGATTTTGACTATAACCTTTATCTTTATTTACTGTGCAATACGAAAACAGGACATATTGTCTTTTTTTTTAGAAGACAATACAATATCATACCGGTACTTATAAAATTGAGAATGGAAATAGGGAATGTGTCAAAGAGACAACAATCCGACCATAGAGCAGACAACAGCCGAAGGCCACCAATGGGTCTTCAATGCAGCGAGAAACTCCCGCACCCAGAGGCGTCCTTCAGCTGGCCCCTAAACAAATATGTATACTAGTTCAGTGATAATGGACGGTCATACTAAACTCCAAATTATACACAAGAAACTAAAATTAACAATGAAACAAGACTAACAAAGGCCAGAGGCTCCTGACTTGGGACAGGCACAAAAATGCGTTGGGGTTAGACATCTTTTTTGAGATCTCAACCCTCCCCCTATACCTCTAGCCAATGTAGAAAAAACAAACGCACAACAGTACGCACAGTAAAACTCAGTTAAAGAGAAGTCCGAGTCCGATGTCAGAATAGGAAACAAAAGTAAATAAACAAAATGACAATAATACATAAATAACAACAGACTACTATCAGTAACTGACATGCCAGCTCCAGACCTCAATTAAACTGATTGAAAGATTATGTCTTCATCATATGAATATCAGGCACAATCCCTCCTGTTAGGGGTTTAGTATTATACCATCATAAAATATATGAGAAGAACATAACCCGTGCAATGCCAACAACTGGTTTTAGAATAAATATGTTTAATTCCGATGCAAAGACCCTATAAGTGAATCAATATTAAAGCCAAAATATGCAATCTTTAATGATCTGACAACAGTATCGTAACTATATCCCTTCTTAATAAGTCTGTTTAAAGGTTTTGTTAGCTTTTGAGGTGAATACTGACATTTTTGTGCTTTGTAAAGAATATTACCATAAAAGATTGGATGTGAAATACCCGAACGTATAAGATGTCTGCATGTTGAGTTATATTCATGAATGATGTCCTTGTACCGATGATAAAATTTAGTAAATGTTTTGACTAGTTTATGATATCGAAAACCCTGGTGTAATAATATTTCAATAATACATAAATTTCTCTCTTTACATGCAAAATTTAGGTTTTGGTTAAACATTTCCTTCTGTTCATGAAATTTGGATAAGTCGTTCTCAAGTTATGGTGCAACATGTTTACGACGGACAGACAGACGGACAGACGGACTGACGGACAGACGACATTTGTATACCATAATATGTCCCGTCAAAATTTTTACGGGCGGATAAAAACTGCAAAATTTCCTTAAAATTATTAATTCATGGGCAGCAACCCAACAACGGGTTGTCTGATGCGTCTGAAAATTTTCGGGCAGTTAGATCTTGACCTGATGAACATGTTTTACCTATTTTCAGATTTGCTCTAAATGCTTTAGTTTCATAGATATAAGCCAAAAACTGCATTTTACCCCTATGTTCTATTTTTAGACATGTCGGCCATGTTGGTTGGCAGGCGGACACATTTTTAAACTAGATACCCTAATGATGATTGTGGCCAAGATTGGTTAAATTTGTCTAAGTAGTTTCAGAGAAGAAGATTTTTGTAAAAGATTACAAAAATTTACGAAAAATTGGTAAAAATTTACTATAAAGGGCAATAATTCCTGAAGGGGTCAATTGACAATTTTGGTCATTCTGACTTATTTGTGGATCTTACTTTGATGAACATTATTGCTGTTTACAGTTTATCTCTATCTATAATAATATTCAAGATAATAACCAAAAACTGCAACATTTCCTTAAAATTGCAAATTCAGGGACAGCAACCCAACAACGGGTTGTCTGATTTATCGGAGAATTTCAGGGCAGATAGATATCAACCTGATGAACATTTTTACCACATGTCGGATCTACTCCAAATGCTTTAGTTTCAGAGATATAAGCAAAAAACTGCATTTTACCCCTATGTTCTATTTTTAGCCATGACGGCCATGTTTGATGGCAGGCGGGATCGTCGGACACATTTTAAAAACTATATACCCAATAATGATTGTGGCCAATTTTAGTTAAATTTTAGTTAAATTTGGTCCAGTAGTTTCAGTGGAGAAGATTTTGGTAAAAGTTAACGACAACGGACGACGGATGACGGACGACGGACGCCAAGTGATGAGAAAAGCTCATTTGACCTTTTAGGCCAGGTGAGCTAAAAACTGCAAAATTTCCTTAAAATTACCAATTTAGGGACAGCAACCCAACAATGGGATGTCTGATTCGTCTGAAATTTTCAGGGCAGATAGATCTTAACCTGATGAACATGTTTGCCTGTTGTCAGATTTGCTCTAAGTGCTTTAGTTTTAAAGACATCAGCCAAAAACTGCATTTACGATATTCCCGGGCTTGTATTTCATATCATGATTTCCTTGATAGAGGATTGCTGCTCACAGGAAGCTATTAAACCAAGAGTTCCAAATGGTGAAGTTGAAATCATCCCTTCGTAAATTTTACGGACGCCATTACGAGTTGGTTGACCGTTATGGGATAACCGTTTCACAGATAATATCGGATATGTTCCTTATGTCGTACTACAATACCCTTCCCTTTTCACGAATGTGACCTACCGAATTAGACTATTTACCGGATTTCTAATAACATAAGCAACACGACGGGTGCCACATGTGGAGCAGGATCTGCTTACTCTTCCGGAGCACCTGAGATCACCCCCAGTTTTTGGTGGGATTCGTGTAGCTTAGTCTTTAGTTTTCTATGTTGTGTCATCTGTACTATTATTTGTCTGTTTGTCTTTTTATTTTTGGCCATGACATTGTCAGTTTGTTTTCGATCTATGACTTTGACTGTCCCTCTGGTATCTTTCGTCCCTCTTTTATCCCTATGTTCTATTTTTAGACATGTTGGCCATGTTGGTTGGCAGGCGGGGTCATCGGACACATTTTTTAAACTATATTACCCTAATGATGATTGTGGCCAAATTTGGTTAAATTTGTCTATTTAGTTTCGGAGGAGAAGATTTCGGTAAAAGATGACAAAAACTTACGAAAAATTGTTAAAAATTGACTATAAAGGGCAATAACTCCTTAAGGGGTCAATTGACAATTTTGGTCATGTTGACTTATTTGTAGATCTTATTTTGCTTAACATAATTGCTGCTTACAGTTTATCTTTATCTATAATAATATTCAAGATAATAACCAAAAACTGCAAAATTTCCTTACTAATTCAGGGGCAGCAACCCAACAACGGGTTGTCTGATTCATCTGCAAATTTCAGGGCAGATAGATCTAAACCTGATGAATATTTTTACCCCATGTAAAATTTACTTCAGTTTCAGAGATATAAGCCAAAAACTGCATTTACCCATATGTTCTATTTTTAGCCATGGCGGCCATGTTGGTTGGCAGGCGGGGGTCGTCGGACACATTTTTTAAACTAGACACTCCAATAATGATTGTGGCCAAGTTTGGTTAAATTTGGCCCAGTAGTTTCAGAGGAGAAGATTTTTGTAAAAGTTAACGGACGACGGATGACGACGGACGACGGATGCCAATTAAGTGATGAGAAAAGCTAAAAATGAGCATGTACATGAAAATTTACTTAAAGAATGATTTTATTTAATTTCCTAGCGAGCAACACCAACACAATTGTCAATTTTGATCTCCATCGTGGTTAGAAAAAAAAACAATTGACGTTACAATTTCAATTGTGACATTAATCACGTGCAGCTCATGTTCTATTGAAATGAGAACATGGCTTTGTTACAAAAGCGAAAGAAGAACGTCATATTAGAATTAAAAATTTAACAACAAACGGTAGCCACAGTTGTCTAACGATCTTCAAAAAAAAACCTGCTTGAGAGACCACCTGTATTAAGCAAAAATCTGTTTTACAAGACCATAAATTTATCCCTTTGTAGTGCATTTCATATAGATTATACCTGTATCAAAATAATACCTGTCTTATAACACCCCTTTTTTGCTTTCCCTTGCGTGGTCTCGTGAAACAAGATTCACTGTAAATTCAACTACAATCAAGATAAAGCAAAGGAGATTAACCAGTATCGATATGGCAAGCGTATTCTGCTAAACATGCGAATCAAAACTGAATCAAAATTCGCCGTTTCAGAA